GGAAGGACTATACTATTTATTAGTCTTATTTTAGTTTTGATGCGCAGTTTGCTCTTCCTTCCTGCTAGGCCTCTTATTGCACCTCTTGCCATGTTGGCTTTTTGGATGGTGGCTTCTACATGTTTGCTAAAGGTTAGCCCTTTATCCATTATTACTCCGAGGTATTTTGTTTCGCTTTTCCACTCGATGGGATTATCCTGCACATCGTAATCACCTCAGCAGAGCACAGCTATGACATCTCTTTTTACTAATAATTGTCAGATGAACTTTTTGGTACTGAGCCACAGGGGCGCACCTAGAATTTACCTGGTGGGGGATTGGTTGGGCACCGAAATTTTTTTTATGTTACCTCCATTTTGAGTCCTTAAAATTTGAGTTTTAGTTTAATTTTAAGTAAGATAGCAGTGCCAAAGATTCTTCTTCTTCTTCAGTGCCTTATCCGGTCCGGATATTGGCGATCATCAAGGCTATCATGGCCAAAGATTCAGGTATCTGTTATCTTACCTACCAATTAAAACCACCCTCTCCTACTTATGCGCAGTGACTGTCGGACGTACCGTACTTCGAAAGTGGGATGGTCACTGTAGGGCTGACGACGACGACATTTTTGGAACACTCCCTTCTCTTCTCTCTCCTGTTGCCGACGAGAATGTAGCTTCGACTAATTTTTAAATAATTTTAAACTGTTTGTCCTTGTTTAGTGTAGTGTTATGTACAATTTTATGTTTAATTTCATGTTTATTACATTCTGCGCTGGTTGGATAGCCCAAAATTGACGAAATGATTACAAACGTTCGATAACTGAAAGAAAATATACATTTTTCTCTATGGTAAAGTAAACTCATGTTCTCCGTCACGGAGTCATGCAATTCTGGCTTCAATCCTTAAGGCTTGTTCATTTGCGTTTTATATTTTATATAACAGCGCTACATGCCTTTTAGGCCCCTAACGTCCTCTTATTTTTTTACCCATTTCTCCCTCCTTCAGTATTGTTTTAACAATCCGATTCTCTGGCATTCGTATAATCTGACCAAGCCATCTAGTTTGGGCTCGTATTTTTGCCTTAATTGCTGGTTTTCCATCTTATATACGCACTATTTCTTTATTCGTTAGTCTTCTCCAAACATTCTCTACCTTCTTTATTCTTCCAAGATTTTTCCAAGCACCTTTCTATCCTAAATCACTCTTTTCTTCCTGCTAGTTCATAATCCACGTTTCACTGGCATATATCACTGTGGGTCTGATTACTGTTTCGTAGACTCACAGTTTAGCTGTTCTTGACACATTTTTTGCTTTCAGTAATGAATTTAGTCACCCTATCGCTCTGCTTCTCTTCATTAATCTTTTGTCTATCTCTTTTTCTCCTTTTCCCGTGTTCATTATGGTTACTTGTAAGTATTCAAATTTCGACACTTTTTCAAAACTAGACGGTCTCTGCTCCTTTCATTCTAATATATTTGTTATGTCTCCTCTCATTTCCATATATTGCGTTTTTGTTTGGTTTATTATTAATCGGTATCTTTTCACTTTTTCAAATTACTGGAAAACTTTTTCTAAATGTTTTTTGTTCTCGCTAGCATCACTACATCATCCGCGTACGCTATGCACTGTTCCCTGCTATTGAAAATAGTCCTGTTAGTGCTTATATTTGACCTTCTTACGATTTGTTCTAATACTAGGTTAAATAAATTCGTTAATAGCGGATCCCCTTGTTTTAAACCTCTATTCACTGTGAACTGTCCTGAAAAGCTTCCTTCCATTGTTACCCTATTCATCGTATTCCTAAGCGTTATTCTCACTAGGCTTGTAAGCTTTTCTGATATTTCTAATGTTCTCATGGCCTCATATAGCATCGTTCGATTTAGGGAGTCTAGTGCTTGTTTAAAATCAATAAATAGCATTGTAATACTAAGTTTTGTTCACAGCTAGTATTTTGTATTAATTTTACCATACTTATTTGATCAGTAGTTGTTGTTCCTGAGATCTCCAATCACTTTCGTTATCATATTTTATTAATCTTTTCCTAATAATTTTTCTAAGTATATTTTTTATAGACTACTTTCTGTTTCCTTTTTTATAGATAGGACAAATAAGAACACTATTCCATTGTTTCGGCATTTCTTCTTTTTGCCAAATTATTAGTGTCCAGTGACATATCCTTTCATCCAATCTTTCGCCACCTTCCTTAAAAATCTCAGCCGGGATACCACTTTCTCCTGCACTTTTGACATTTTTTAGGTCTCTTATTTCTTTGGACTTGATTCCTCGCACGACGTCCCTTCTTCATCTTCTTGCCAATTCGCATTTCCCTCAAGTTCCTCTTGTTGGCCTGTGTTTAATAGATCTTCGAAATATTCCGCCCATCTGTTTAATTTTTCTGTTGTTTCACCTAGAAGTAAGCCTTCTTTGTTTCTGTAATACTGTGTAGTTTCTCTGGATTTCTTAACTTCTTGGTAAAAAGTATTTACCTCTTTGTTATATTTATATGCTCTCTTCCTACACACGTTTCTGCTGCTTCCGACATTGCTGTCTGTATGGTCTGCCACTCTTCATCTACCTCCTGGTTGACTGGATTTTTACAACTTGCTTGTCTTGAAGGCGCTCTAATTGGTAATTTAATCTCATTAACAGGTTTTAGTATTATTAGTGTATGATCACTGTTCGTATCTTCTTCTTCTTCTGGTTCCTATCCGTTTCGGATGTTGGAAATCATATTGGCAATCATAACCTTGTTCGCCGCGGCTCGAAACAGCTCCGTTGAGGTTGTCTTAAACCGTGTTCTTAAATTCCGCAGCCATGATATTCTCCTTCTACCGGGTGCTCGCTTACCTTTGACTTTACCTTGCAATATAGACTCTAGCAGGGAGTAACGGTGCTGATTTCTCATAACGTGTCCCAGATATTGCAATATGCGTTTGATCGTAAACACAATCTCTGGTTCCTTCTTAATTTTTCCTAGAACTTCCTTGTTCGTGATCCTTGCTGTCCATGATATTCTCAGCATTCTTCTATAAAGCCACATCTCAAATGCTTCAAGTTTTTTAATAGTGGTGTCTGTAAGCGTCCATGCCTCCGCCCCGTACAACAACACAGAGAAAACATAGCATCTCAAATGTCTCATTTTTGTATCAAGGGATATGTTGTGACTTTTGAAGATGACGCTCATTTTGTTAAAGACCGTTCTTGCCTTTCCTATGCGGCACTTTATTTCCTGTACATTGCTCCACTGTTCGTTAATAATAGTTCGTATCTGCCCCTCTGTAACCTGTAATCGATTATTGCCTTATCGTTTACTTTCAATTGCGACATGATCTATCTGATTTTTTATGACTACCTTATGAATGTCTTTGTGATCAAACCTTGTGTCAGCTATCTTCATTTTGTTCTCTGTAGCAAATTCTATTAACTTTTTCCCCTTTTCATTTGATTCCTTATGTAAACTTGTCTCCCTGTTATTCTTCTATACATTTTCTCTTTCAGACTTTCGCATTCATGTCACCAATGATTATCTGGTTGAGTTTATCTTAAGTACAAGCTGAATATAGCGGCAAATGTCAACCATAAAATAAAATATTAGTTTGGCAGTAATTCTTGTTTTAGTTTTGCTATTATTAGTGTATGGTCACGGTTGGTATCTGGCCCTGTAACTCCTGCAATCGATTATTACTTTATGTTTGCTTTCAATTAGGACATAATCTAGGTACATATCTGATTTTTTATTTGTCCATCGGGAGAAGTCTATGTTGCCTTATGAATGTCTTTGTGATCAAATCTTGTGTTAGCTATCTTCATTTTGTTCTCTGTAGCAAATTCTATTAACTTTTTCCAGTTTTCATTGGATTCCTTTTATATATTTTCTCTTTTCTGACTTTCGCATTCATATCACATCTGGTGGAGTTGACCGAAAGTACAAGCTGAATATAGCCGCAAATGACAACCATGAAATAAAACATTTCAGTTTGGCAGTGTTGGAATGTTATAATGTAATATATAGAGAACAAGCTTTTAAAAAGTACATTTTGATACCATTTTATGAATTCTGCATTTTTTTAATGTATATGAAACAATTACGAGTAAATATTTGTCTCTCGAGATTAATTGCAAACATCTGTTGCAATCTGGCAACGGCTGAGTTGACTCCCCTAATCTATCAAAGGGTAAATACCAAAAAAAATTCTAATAATTAACTGCAATTACTCTCCAAAGAAACAAACACTTACTCATTCTTGTTTTATATAAATAAAAGATTGCAAAATGCATATCAGAATATAAACAAAATGTACTTTTCTAAAGCTTCATCTTTTTATATTCAAGGCGTACAGCATCTACATTATAAAAACCTGCCAAACCGAAATTTTTTGTTCCCCATGTTTGACATTTGCGGCTATAATCAGCTTGTACTTTTGATAACTCAACCGATTATCTTTATATCGTATTTCTGTATATTCCTAAGCTAAGGAAGCTTAGCTTTTGTTAGAACTGTTTTGGTTTCAAAGTCTTTATCAGTGAGCACAAGTACAGTAATTTATCTTCCTATACTTTCCTCTTATCTCTTTACAACTGCTTTGTTTACTTTCTCAGACACCCATGAATCCCCTCCTGAACAGTTCCCCTTGCCCCCCCCCCCACCACACTCTTGAACAGTGTGCTCTTTCCCCATTTTTATTATTTCATTCATATTTTATTGTTTCGTTTCTTGCAGGGCAAGGATATCTATTGTATATTTTTTCATAATTTGGTCTAAGTTTCTTAAAGCTACCTGCTCATAAGTACCTCTCACATTTTAAGTCCCAATTTTTATTATATCCTTGGATTGTTGCCTTTCTTTTGTGTTTTTTTTCCGTTTTCGAAATATTCCTTTGCCTTGCCGTTTTGGTATCATATCAGTACCAATTGTTTTTCTTGTAGTTTTTTGGCAATTTTTCTTTTAGTTGTTTTACTTTATCCCACATCCTTTCCCATCCACGAACAACTTCTTATTTTTGTCTGTTTTCCTTTACTTTTTTCTTCCTTTGCTAGTTTAACTATTTGTTTCTGTATTTCTTTTGCTGTCATCAGTTTATTTATGTAGATGCGATATTTCTTTATGAAACTTACTTTTACTATTTAGTATCTCAATTTTCATGATAGATTCTTAAAATTGCGACGGTAAGATATTTTATCCGCTTTGAAGACCATTGTATATAAAGTATGTTAGTTGCTCTTCCAAATTAAATAACACACTTGTTTCTAAAGTTTTTACTTGATTGTGAAATTGACTGGACTATAAGCAGTGGCTGGTACAGCAAATGAAGTAAATTGAGGTGAATTCATTGTATGATGAACGTGCATGTGGGCAAGGAAGGTGTGGCATTCAAAGTTCGCTGAATCGGAACCAACAAAAAACACCAGACTGTACTGAACAAAATATAATTTATTGATAATGATACAAAGATACATTATTAGCTACATACATAAATAATATACAGGTATTGCGAACTCCCCGACCAGTCAGCGCATGAGCACGCCACGCGCTCCGACTGAGACAATGAGCACGGTGGTCTCTAAATATTGCAATATAAATAATAAGTTACATATAAATTATAATAATAAAATAACTACATAACATAAACGTGTTGAGAAAAAACACACAAATTAAATAATGATTTAAATAACAAAAAAAAATGTTGATTCTTGCATCGGTCATATCGGCAGTGTTCAAAAGTAGTGACAGTTTGCAGATTTACTATTTATTAAATTTAAAATTGTTATGATTTGGCTAAACGACATTTATTTACATTAAATACATTCAGTTTTAATAAAAAATATTGTAATGTGGGAATATTTGAAGGCAATTTAAAAAGCGTCACTATTCTTGTACACTGACGATATATAGGCACACGATAAGAGGGAACAATAAATGAGAAAAGCAGTAATAAAAATAATAAATAATCCGCGGAATGTAATACGAAAACTCTACGACCGATGACTTGAAAAACTAACCTAACTTACACATTCACATAGTAACATTCGTATAAAACACACCTTTTTATAAATTTATTATATTTAAAAAAATCACACAATATCAAAATCACTCCGCCATGTTGGCGAGATTAATTGTAACATAAATAAGACACTGTATTTAAATAAAGTCTGAGTTGGAGCCATTATCGTGGCTTGGAAGTTATCTTTTAATTGATGTAACCAAAAATTTCTTCTCGAACATGTTTATAAAATTTTTAAAAGCCACAATTCTTTCATATTGCCGAATTAAACTAAACTTACAAGAAATTAATACAACAAAAGCTGGTATCAATAATTATAGTGTATGCTACTTCATTCTAAGCGGGAATGCTGAACAGATCCGAAATCTTTGCATCATCGAGAACTCGGTTGGTAGTATGCACTTATATTGTAACATGTATATGTAATAAGTTGTTTTTCCATCTCTACTTCGACCATTTGCGGTTTACTGAGAACTTACAAGAGTAATAAAAAATATTTTATGTGAATTTTAATTTATTAGCAATAACTCTTTCACTGAGATCGCCCAATACACAGAAAACGCAATCAATTACAAGAAGCAATTACAAAATAATACATGGCACATTATTCATATTCTAGAAAGAGCAAAAACGTAATATTTGCGCAAGTCAATAACAAATAAATCCGATAAATAGATTGTAAGTAGTGGATTTTTGTACTAACACAAAAAATGTGACAAATTATTAGTGAATATAATTACTAAATTAATGTTTTTAAAATATATAGATACCCCATTTTAATTGATATTGCTTATTGAAGGATAACATATTTATAAGCTTTTATTTATTGTATAAAAACGATCAAATATTGACCAAAACAATGAAACTTTACCTACAAATATATTATTGGCTCCAAAGCTGAACATGTTTGCAGTAGTTATTAGTCATAAAGTAGCAACATTTAATATATATTCTTTCATTGAATAATATTTTATTAAATAATTTTTTTAATTCCACTTGCCACCTGGTGCTTAAAACTTTTTGAGCAGTCACCTCACCAATCGGTGACATAGTCATAATGATTAAATTATACTGTTATCCACAACTGAATTATTTTTGAATATTTTTTTGTAAAAAGGTATTTCTGGATAACTCTCCCGGAAATTTTCAACGTGTCAACAAAAAATAACTTCCAAGCTCCAATTTTTATCCACAGTAAATGAAATAAAAAAATAGGCACTACAATATCAAATCGCTCAAAGTAAGGATTTGTGTAGTATCTATAAATCTGTTAAAAACTGGCAACCTCTGGTCTTCGACACCAGGGGAATGTAGTTCTGGTTCGCTGCTGAAGAACGATCCCATCGACGAGGTAGGACTTTGACTCAAACTGCATGGTGGGCTGGGGCTATCCAGGGACAACGAAGGACTTAGAGCAGCGGGTCTAGCTGCTCTCGGTGTGACAGAAGCGGGCCTATTGCTCAACATTTGAGGCTTCGTGACTTCATCTTGATTGTGTACGAAATGGCAACGGGGCCCATACGGACAGAAGCCAACCGTGTGGTAGGTGCGACATAGCTCGGTTTTATATTTCGGATGCCTGGCGAGGCTGCGCAGTTCACTCATGCCATGCGCGAACTGGCACTTGTCGCCATATTTACACACCCCGAACTCTTCGAAGGGGCGGCACAACTCCGTCTTATAGCGGGACGTGTTGACTGTGGTGGCTGTAACCGCCGCCGCGGGGGCTGAAACTTGCGGCGCAGGAGCTGATTGAGTGCGCTCTAATCGCCGGTGTTGGGTTAGATTATCCAGGAGCGCTGCTAGTTGGTTCGAACTGGCCTGGCCAATGGGAGTCGACGCCATTCTGGTTAGTGTGAGACGCATCTGTGTTGGTCCGATTGGTATGTGTGAAGTAGTAGTTGAGTCGGGTGTTATGCCGTTCTGAAATAAAGAGAAAAAGTTAATATCCAAGTTCTTTACAAAGAAATAACATGTTAATCAAAAGTAGAAAATAAAATAGGGAAGACAAGAATACAAGCTGCCCTACAAGAATAGTGTCAATAACCAAATTTTTCAGCGTTTTTCATTACTTTTTGCAAATAAAATACTGTCGTAACTCAATTTATTTATTTAATGAACTCAACTCATTTAATGATTATCGACATTAATAAATTCTTCAAACTTGTTAAAATACTGTTTTATGTCACAATACAATAAGTTATTCATAACCACTGCTGGTTGGTTGGTGCAATGTTGGTTATTTTACTAATACGTGTTATCACCATCGAGCAAAAAGACAAAAGAGGGAATGTAAAGGTAGTGGGGGCAAAAATATAAGGGGGGTAAGTGTTCGTAATTGTAATTAGATTTTTCAACACCCGTCCAATTATTTCCTTTGCAACTGGTGAATCCGAAAAAAAAAAATCACAAATAACAAAGAAAACATACAAAAAAAAGTAAAACTTCGCTCTATAGCTTGCTTTTCAAAAATACGCTTAATTTATTTCTCGGAAAATTTTCCTGTAATCGTTTTGCAGTGTAGGAAACAAAATTTTATGGTGTCGCTGATAATTCATAAATAACCTCGTATCTCGACTTCAGCTTACTCATATCCGTTCTGGGTGTAGTATGGTTTACCTTCTGTTGTTGAGTTCATAGAGCTCAGAACTACTTATCGTAACTATAAGCAGTCATCGTTATCGGTAGTTCTCTTGTAATATGTTAAAACATCATGTTTCTCTTAAATTATATCTTAAGATGGTCTATTTCTAAAGAAATTATTGATTGAATTTGTATTTTTGTTGGAATAAAGTATTGATACGTACAGCACTGATACCTATAGTTTATTAATTGCTCTTAGTACTATTATTCTCTATTAAACAAAATTTGAACGGAATTGTTCTCTTAAAAAGAGCGTGACCATCAATTACGTAGAGGTGGAACATGTTTTGAACGTGACGTGTTTGACAATGTACTAACGCTTACAAAAAAAAATATAAATATCAATAAAACATGACCGTCACCATGACTTAAAACCCTAAGGATTATCGTAAGGTCAAAAGAATATCATTGTATTTAGAGATACACTTCACAACAATTCATTAATTGAATGTTGTTAGGTATTTTTCGCGTTCAAATTGTTGATTTCCTGCTCCTGTTTATAATACATGATTTTTGAAATATTAAAGTGGACTTTAGCCCAAAGGACAGTCAAACCAACAATAATACTGATTTAATATGATTACCTGTACGTAAAATAATAAAATTGTGATCAAAATTGGTAAGGAATATATTTAATTGTGATGTAGATTCCGGAATCTACGATCCGAAAACTAAATAAACATAAATTGCCCATATCTTACTACCTCTACAGTAGACATGTCCATTTTCAATATACGACGTCTCCTGTCAATTGTCAGCTATTATGATATTCAATATTCTGTCTTGTTTTGAACCCGAAATGAGCTTCGGGAACTGTTTTCTTGGAGCATGTTAAGTTAAATATTGAGAGGTTATAAGGAAACCTTTAGTAGCATTCAACAGTACAACAATACCCTTTCTATCAGTGTAATCGTACCTGGAATATGTATTACCACTTTAGTGAAAGCAAACAAAGGTTAAATTTTGACTAAGGTTGAAAAACTAATGTGGTTAAATGTAATACCAGGTACTAAATAGTCAAGCTACTAAATATCTGGGTAAAAACCCTTAAGTTACAAATTTTGTTTTGTGTTACATTGTTGTTACGAATATGTTGTGATGTTATCACAGTATTTAATAAATATCCTGCATGACAACGAAAGGCTTCCAATAGGGATTGGTGCTGACCCTCAGACCTTGTCTGAATGGGTCCTAGTTGACAGTTTCGAAAGGATGCAAAGCAGTTAATGTAACTTGTAGTATGTGTCCTAATGTGACACCAGCCAACAATGTGTTAAATGAATGAGAAATTTTAAAATTTTAAATTTATTGTTCCTTATAACATGTAGCAAACGTCAAGTGGTTGGGGTTGAAGTGTGCTTTATAAATTATATACCTTATATTATATACTTAGTTGCCAACTAGAAGCATTCAGGCAAGGTCTCCAACCTCTATTGTGAGTTTTACGTTGCCATGCAAGATACAAAAATAATACAATAAAATAAAAATACAAAAAATAAAATAACACAAAACCAATTAAGGGTTTTTACCCAGATATTTAGTGGCTTGATTCATGTATACCCTGGTAAATATTTAACCACATTGCTTTTTCAACCTTAGGTCAAAATTTAACGTTTGTTTGCGTTCACGCAAGTGGTAATACTTAGTCCAAGTAATATTACACTAATGATGGACTTTTTATTCCGAAAACGTTCTCTGATGTAGCCCAAAAGAGTATTTATAATTATATACTTTTTATAAAGGATTTTTAAATAAAACTTTTAGATAATAGCTTTGTTCGGAGACAAAACATAACTGGTTTTTGACTGATTCGCATGCGGTATCAAAAATCAGGGACTTCGATAGAAAGTTCGCCGAGTTTTTCTGACTGGTTCATGGTGAAATAGGTTCCTTGGATTTGTGGATTAGAGTACGGATTTTTAGTCTTTTGTTTGCTTGTGTCCCGTACAAGAAAATTTCTGTACAAAACGCGGAAACATGAACATGAGGAAAGTCAGTGATTACTGCAGACCATAACCTTGATTTTTTTTTTCATATTTTATACGTAGTAACAGTCATCTACTACTCAAAAACTTTATACATTTACTTGAAGTTGTCTGTGTTTTTTGATAAATTAGACATTTTAGCAATAAATATGTTTGACCACATTTAGAACGTTAAAAGAAGTTATTTTTAGTTAAAAATTAACATCTTACGCTAAAAGTTAAAAATATATACGAATTATATTTATATAATCATCTGAGAGACCAGATCGCTAAATTTGTTTACAAAAATGTGACCTTTTCAGTTAAGGTTAGAAACTTTGGTCTGTTTTAAGGTTAGAAACAGTAAGAAATGTCCGAAAATCAAATTAAAGTTGGAAACTAATATCTAACCGCGCCAGCGCATAAAAACAATCCCTAATTGGTCCGAAACTTGTCGAAAGCTAGTCAGGGACTCGCGCGAACAAAGCTAATGAATGTATTATTTGATTATAGAATCTCGAACACATATTTATTTTACTTTTACAAATAAGATTTTGATAATGGTCCGGCTTTTGTTGATTAAGAAACTCGTACAGCTCAAAAGTTTATCGCACAGCTAGATACCTTTATCATTTATTTAAAGGACAGAGACAACCATGTGCAAGATATTTAACTGCTCGAAATTTAAAGTTTTGATTAATTCTATAGTGCAGGACAAGATATTGTCTTGATAGATTGACTTTTAAATCTAATTATTATAGTCGAAGTAACATATTGTACAACGCTTTAAATTCGGCGACGTTTGATACCTTTTTTAACACCGAAAGGATGCCGCTTTAGTTGGGAAACAGTTCGTTGATAGATTGTAGTGTTGTTTTCTGCAATTTACTTAGTAGCAGATCGTTATAGTCTAGATAATATTAAACGAAATTAGTTATCCGATATAACGCGCCGTAAGTGGTGTAATGTAGTAGAAATCACGTGCCAATCATTAATTCTAGGAAATTTTGTATTCGACCATTGGCGGGGCGTAAGAAATTACATTTCCTTGTTCACTTTACATTGTAAAACTAGAATGTTATACATATTTCTGTTTATAATAATAAAAATATTACATTGGGTTTTCATTCACATTACTAATGTGTCGACTGGGCATTTATATAGTCGTTATAGAAGTTATATTATGTACTCAAATTTTTATTTCAGAGGGATCTTCAAGTATTTAGTCTGCCAATAGAAAGAGTACTAGTAAACCGCAGATGCTTGTTTGGTTTGTATGTACCTAATGTCAAAACATTACCATTAACATGCCAAAACGTGTTTATTTGAAGCAGTTATAAATCGAGTCATATTGTTACAAATACAATTGATTTTACGTATTACTTTTACGGTAGTAATCAGAACGAAACGCAACTGTTAAGATTCGAAGTGTATTTCGGAGAGAAATTTAATTCTCTTGAGTGTCAAATAATCGAGAAATCTATTTAATAACGGCATTAATAAAGTCCAGATGAGTCAACAGCTGAATCAGAAGATGGCTGCATCTACAATTTTATAAGCGTCAATAAAACTAAAAATTTAATTTTGCAAACACCGATTTTGTACGAAACCGGTGCTAAGTGTTGGTGTGAATGTAATTCCTCAAAAAAAAAGTACCCATAAAGATTCGAATGCATTTAAATACGGAGACACACCAAGGATGTTCCAAGGTGTACAAAAATCTACATAAAAAAAGTTAGCTTCGATGAGAAACTGTTGGCACAAGGCACCTTTTGATCTAACAGAAATTTCACTTTCGACTATATACAAATCAGTTAAAAATGTTATTATCCTGGTTGCCAGATTAGAGAACCTCAGAACCAGTGAAGTTAAAGTATGTTTCAAATGAAAGCCAGTAATTAGTGGATCAATTTAGGTGTACCTTCAAAATTAAATTACTGAAATTCGTTTAGTTTGTAATCAAGTTATTTATTAAATCAATGACTAGCAGCAATATTTACCTTCGTTTTAGGGATTCCTTTACTTTAAAAGCGAATGAATTATAAATAAAAGTAATAGAAATATAAAATTCGTTTACCATAAAATGTTTATTTAAATTTTTTATTTAAAACTAGTTCTTCACGTGGCAACAACGCCACGACATTCGTTATGTAACGAGTAAGATGAAATCAGTCAATGGGAACTTCGTCATACTTTCTCTATTGTAAATTATAAAAGAAACATAAAGAACTAGGAGAATTGAATTTGTCGTAAATCTTTAGAAATTGAAAGCAACAATATCAGTGTTCAGTCTGTTAGAAAAATTAGCGGTTTTTA